TCAGAGAGAGAGAGAGGCATGCTAGGTTAGGTCTGTTCCTCATTGCTCTGTGAGTTTCTGTGCATGTGTGTGAAGGAGGAGGTGATGGGGGCTGTGAGGATGCCATGGATTCTGCTGATAGAGTTTGATGGAACTAGCAACAACTTGAACTTTCATTTCACCTCCTGTTTCCACTGGGTGCTTGGGAAAGAATCTTAACTTGGCCCTCCAGTTCTTCAGCTCAGAGTATGAGGATCATTTATTATTCCTCTTTGAATCTCCAAGTCTCTCTTTTTTTTAGAATGTTCTGGTCTTACCTGATGGTTAAGAATCCACCTGGCAATGCAGGGGAAACTGGTTTAATCCCTGGTCCAGGAAGATCCCACCTGCCCAGGGGCAACTGAGCCACAGCTACTGAGCCAGTGCTCCAGTGACCCTACCCTGAAACAGGAGACGCCACCGCGGTGAGAAGCCTGTGCACCACAACAAAATGTGGCTCCCACTCGCCGAAACTAGAGGATAAGCCCATGGGCACTAACGATGACCCAGCGCAGCCTCAAATTAAGTAATTAATTAGATGTTCAACTAGGACTTCCCTGGCAGTCCGGTGGTCAGGACTCCATGTTTCCACAGCAGGGGGACACGGGTTCGAGCCCTGGTTGGGGAACTAAGATCCCACATGCTGCCTGACCAAATAAATAAACCGTAAAAGAAAACAACAACAACAACAACACTGCTCTACAGCGATGGTCCCTAACCTTTTTGGCACCAAATACCGGTTTCGTGGAAGACAATTTTACCACAGACAGGAGGGGAGAGTGCGTGCTGGGGATGGTGGAGGTGGTTCTGGTGGTGAGGTGAGCTCGGGAGCCGTGGGGAGCCGTGGGGGAGCGGCAGATGACACCAGGCGGGCTGGCCCACCGACCACCTCGAGAACCAGTCAGCGGTGGGGTGCTGGGGACCCCGGCTCCGCAGCACTTTCTTCTGTCGCTCGACTTTTGGATTCAATAGCTAACACACTAACTCTCGCCTCAGAACTTGTGGTTCTGTTTTCCAGCTGCGTTTACCTGCAGTCAATTGTGTCTTCTGAAAATATTAAATGGAAAATTCCAGAAAGAAACAACGCCAGAATTTTAAACTGCTGCATCATTCCGAATAGCGAGGCGAAATCTCGTAATATCCTGTGTCGTCCCATTCGGGACGAGAATCCCATTTGTCCAGCATATCCGGATCAACTGCCCTGGATATCCCAGTGCTCCTGTTCAGGTAATCCTCATTTTATTTAAAAAATGGCCCCAAAGTGCACAAGGAGTGATGCTGGCTATTCGAATGTGATAAGGAGAAGCCGTAAAGTGTTTCCTTTAAGAGAAAAGGCAGAAGTTCTCCACCTGGTGAGGGAAGAAAATCCTATGCTGAGGTTACTAAGATCCACAGTAAGAACAAATCTTCTATCCATGAAATTATGAAGAAGAAGGAAATTTGTAACAGTTTTGCTGTCGCCCCTCAGGCGGCAAAAGTCACGGCCACAGTGTGTGTTAAATGCTTAGTTAAAATGGAGAAGGCATTGCATTTGTACAATAAGGTATTTTTAGAGACAGACTGCATTCTCATAATTTTTATCACAGTATATTGTTATAATTTGTCTATTTTATTATTAGTGATTGTTGTTAATCTCTGACGGTGTCAAATGTAAGTTAAGTTTTATCAGAGGGATGTATATACAAGAAAAAAAAGTGTGTATATACATGGGCCAGTACTATCCCTGATTTCAGGCATCTGTTGGGGGTCTTGGAATGTATCCTCCATGAATAAGAGGGACAACTATATATTGGCGGAAATATATATTTCCACCCAGGGCGACAGAGATGAGGTTTTAATAATGACAGCTAATAGTTATCAAACATTTAATAGGTACTGCTGCACTGGCCAAGTCTTTCACATGTATTATCCAACCTAAATTTTGACACAGGTACTAATATCAGTGACGGTTACAGTGAGGGAGTTGAGAAGTGGTGGAGTAAGGTAAACAATTTGGAGTGCTTAATATGGATCAGGAATGATTGTTCAGGAGACTTCCCTGGCCGTCCTGGGAACCTCTGCAACTGGAGAAAACCCTCGCACAGCAATGAAGAATCAGCTCAGCCAAAAATAAATAGATAAATAAATATTTTTAAAGCCTAGAAAAAAATTTTTTTAAACAGGGAAAACAACAGCTAACATTTTTGGGTATTTGCCACATGGCCAGCTCTGTCTCGCCCTTTATAAGCAATGACTATAGCTCATTTAATTCTGGCAAGAACAATCATGAAATAGGTAGTGAGATGTTGAATACACAGACAGACAATGGCTGGACCATCTATGACAGTAGAACTCTGACCCACAAACTCTGCAGCTGCCAGTCCAAGAAGCCAAATCACAATGTCTGCAACAATTGGCCCAGACTGGCCAGGATTTGATGAATGACAGCCAAGTGCCCTGTATTTTCTTTCTACTTCCAACTCAGGACCAAACAGAAGAAGGCAAATACGAGCCCCAAACCCACAGCAAAGTATGCCCCAATTCTAGTTAGCCACACTCCCTCCACTTTCCCAGCCAATACCCTGCAATCAGAGCACACCTGACTCTCTTCTTACTAGAAAGTTAACACAAGTGGTGGTGGCTGATTCCACTGACTAGCAAGCTCTGAGTCAGTTACTCTGCTCGTTCTCACTGGGGTTGGCTCAGCTCATTTCTACAGTAGGACAGTTTAGGGCCCTTTTGCAGAAGACAAGAGGCACAGAGAGGCTAGGAAGCAGATACCTGAGTCACAAGGATGGTAATTATCAGAGCTGCGATCCCATCTCTGGCTGCAGACTTCCCTGGAACTCCACCTACTGACCAAAGGCAGCCCTGGGAGCCTGAGACGGAAAGCAGGTAGGGATCATCCAGAGCGCTGTGTGTGATTTGTGATGCGTAGATTACACCAGTACATTTACCAAGAGGCTACACTGAGCTGTTGCTGTTACTCTTTTTCAGGAGTCACTCTGATCCTTTAAAGAAACTACATGAAAGTCACTAATCGTATCCAATTCTTTGCGACCCCACGGACGGTAGAGTCCGTGGAGTTCTCCAGGCCAGGATACTGGAGTGGGTAGCCTTTCCCTTCTCCAGGGGATCGACCCAACCCAGGGGTCAAACCCAGGTCTCCCGCATTGCAGGTGGATTCTTTACCAGCTGAGCCACAAGGGAACCCTTAAAGAAACTAAATGGTTCCCAAATTGCTAGAGCATAAGGATCACAATGCAGGGGGAGGGTGTACAGACTCCAGGCTCCTGCTCCACTTGGAAGGGATCACAATCTCCCAGGTGGGTCTGAGAGGTTAAAAAAGGGCTCTTCCCCTAAGAGGAACTTAACTGAACTCTGGGAAAAGGTGAGCTCCCTACCCTCAGGCCTAGGGTACTGAGAGGTAATTTAAAGGCAATTGTTCTATACTAGTCTAAATAGAAAGGGGGGGTCAGAGTGAGTACTTTATTGGGATGTACTACAGAAGGGATAACTTCAGGTTATTATTGAAATCTGAGGAAGGACACCTGACTTTTGAATAAGTGTAAGTGTGACTTTTTAATACTGCCAAGGAAATGTACTAGCCCTCCCACCCCTTATCTGAGGGGAATGCATTCCAAGATCTCCAGTGGATGTCTGAAACTGCATATAGTACCAAGTCCTATACAGTCTTTCTTGGTATTCATGAGGAATTGGCCAAGGACTCCCACCCCCCAATCCCCAAATCCACCAATGCTCAAGTCCTTCATATAAAATGATGTAGTAGTTGCTTTCACATGGTATGACCCTGTATAGTTTACATCACCTCTAGATTACTTCTAACACCTAATAGGATGTAAATACTATGTAAATATTAGCAAATACAATGTAGCAAAAAGTGTTAGTCACTCAGGTGTGTGCAACTCTTTGCGACCCCATGGACTGTAGCCTGCCAGGCTCCTCTGTCCATGGAATTCTCCAGGCAAGAACACTGGAGTGGGTTGCCATGCCCTTCTCCAGGGGAATCTTCCTGACCCAGGGATGGGATCTGGGTCTCCTGCATTGCAGGCGGATTCTTTACCATCTGAGCCACCAGGGAAGCCCAAATACAATGTAAATACTATGTTAACAGTTGCTGGTGGGTGGAAAATTCAAGTTTTGTTTCTTTGGAATTCTCTGGAATTTCTTTTCCAGAGTATTTTGGATCTGAAGTTGGCTGAATCCAAGGATGCAGGCTCCACAGATACAGAGGACCCGCTGCTGCATACATTTCTTTTCTATACTAGTGGGTGGGTAACGTGTACAGCATGGATATGAAATGGCACAGCTTAGATCGGGACTTGAACCCACAGGCTGGGACTCAAACCCAGACAAAACCCAGACTGAGACTTAACCCACTTTTTTTTTTTTTTTTTTTGGCTGTGCTGAGTCTTCATTGTTATGTTCAGGCATGTCTCGCTGCAGGGCCTGAACTGTAGAGCTCACGGGCTCTGTAGCCCCCGCAGCATGTACGATCTTAATTCCCCAACCAGAAATCAAACCTGCCTCCCCTGCCTTGGAAGGTGGATTCTTAACCACTGGACCACCAGGGAAGTCCCGAACCCACTGTGTTTTATTTGAAATTACACATCTGGTTTCAGGACTTAGGGAAGCTTCTATTCTTTATGTCTAACCACAGAAAGAATTCAATGAGAGACAAACTGAAAGACAAGAAGTGGATTTATTTAGAGAGAGACTCCATAGAGAGGATGTGGTCCATCGCAAAAGGCGAGCGCGGCCCTGGGAGACACATCCTCCAACAAATAGTGTCCGGAAATATGGGGTGGTTTGGTTTCAGGGCTGGGTAATTTAATGGGCTTGGTAACCTAGGCTAATGAGTGGGAGGATTATTCCAACTGTCTTAGAGAAGGGGTGGGGATTTTCAGGACCCTGCCGACCTTGCAGCCTTTTATGCTGGGTTTCTGACCTGCTCTGGCGCTGGCGGGCGTGTCCTCCAGCTCATGCTAATGTATTACTACGTGCGCATAATAAGGCTCAGGCTCCTGGAAGCCAGATCTTCCGCCAGCTCGGGCCAAGCCTGGTTCGAGCCCGTGTTTGGTCTCCAGGCTCTGCCATTCCTCTCCTGTTTCACCTATGCTGAAAAAGGGGTGAGGGAGGCAGGGGCAGTTTTCATCATGCTCCTCAGAACGGCACCCAATTTAACACTCAGGAATTGTTTACTTCTGGAATTTTCCATGTAATGTTTTCTGACTAAGTTTGACCGTGGGTAGCTGGAACCTTGGAAATCAAAGTTGAGGGTAAGAGGGGGTGACTAGAATAGTGTGAAATTATGAACTCCCTGTTTACAAACAGCTCTGAGGAAGTTCTGCCGCAAAAGGTAAATATTAGTTTACAGCAGGTTAAATGAGGACAGGGAGAGCTTAGGGGACTAAAAGAGACGTGGTATTTTCTTTGCTCTTTGGACTTGTTCTTTAGTTGGTTGTTATTGGACAAATTTGAATTTTTCTCCCTCCCCCATCAACAGCTGTTACCTTTTTTTTTTTTTTTGGCCATTTGCACAGCATGCAGGATCTTAGTTCCCTGATCAGGGAGTGAACCTGGGGCCCTGATAGTGAGAGCACTGAGTTCTAACCATTGGTCTGCCAGAGAATTCCTGACTCCTGAAGTTTTAAAACTGCCTAAACTTAAAAAGATGTACCAGCTACACCTAAATTCTGAGCAGTACAAAGTTAGCTGGCAGCAGCAAAAGGGTATTGGCACAAAAGTAACCAGTCAATCTAGGAAAGAATTGGTATATTTTATTCGAACCAAATTTGAGGATTATAATAACCTGAGAAGAGTATCTCAGAAATACCTGAGAACTCTTTCACCCATTAGAAGTCAAAACACAGTTTACATAAGTTTTGTTTCTATTTTTTTTTTTTTTAAAAACAGAAGGCTGTACATTAAATTTTTTTTGGAGATGGGGGCGCTGAGCCATGCAGCTTGCAGGATCTATCTTAGTTCCCCTACCAGGGATTGAGCCCAGGCCCTCGGCAGTGAAAGTGCAGAGTCTTAACTACCAGGAACTCCCAAAATGAGCTGGCTTGTTGATGCTAGGAGAATGTTGCTGTTTATGGTTGAGCAGCAGATATTCTTGGTGATGGGGGAGATTTGGCCAACACATGGTGTGGATATATGCATAGTTGGAGGAGAGATGAAACCAAAAGAGAATTTTTTAATTGTTTAAATTTTTCTTATTTTGTCATAAAATGCAAATTTTATTTCACAAAGAGAAAAGGGCATATCCTAAGACCACTCCAGAAAACCAGCCAACTCCCTCGTAACTTCTACTAATAAAAGATGAGGGGAAGGAATCTTGTTGGAAGTGATTCCTCTGACAATGTGTTTCTTTTATGAAGGGTGCTGATTGCCTTCATTCAGCATGGTCCCAGGGATCGAACCTGGGCCTCTTGAGTCTGCAGGCAGATTCTTTACCATCTGATCCACCAGGGAAGCCCATTCAGTGTGGTTGGGGGAGATAATTAGAAATACAACTTCTCGGACCCCATCCCAGTAAGAATCTGAATTTTAGCAGGATGCCAGGTGATTTGTCTGAACTTTAAAGTTTGAGGACCACTGCTTTAGAAAGCCACTGCTGTCTTCCAAAAAAGCAGCCCACTCTAGATATTTATAAGTAAATTTTTAATTATAGAATTATTTTAGGTTTGCAGAAAAATTACAAAAAATTTGCATACCCTGAAACCCAATTAATATTTTGTATTAACATTTCCCACATGAACGTCTTAAATTAATATGGTGCATTTTATTTTATGATTAATAAATCAATATGGATATGATATTATCACTGAAAGTCCAGAGTTTATTCATATTTCCTCAGTGTTCCCCAATGTCCTTTCTCTCGCCTGTGATTCCACCAAGGACAATTTAGTCCTCATGTCTCCTTAGGTTCTTTAGATTGTGACTTTTTTGTTTTAATGACCTTGATGGTTTTGAGGCGTGCTGGTCATGTATTTTGCAGGATGTCCCTCAGCTGGGATTTCTCTGCTATTTTTCTCATGATCCATCTGGGATTACAGGTGTTTGGGAAAAAGACCACAGAGACACAGGGCCACTCTTATCACATCAGATCAAGGGTGTCTGGGATCCCCATGACTTATCCGCACTGAGGCTGACCTTGATCATCTGGCTGAGGTCCTGTTCATCAGCTTTTACTTTTTTTTTAATATCCCAATTTAGTGCATATTAACTAAAATTGGTATGAGGAAGGGAACTGAAACAGACCCCAGACAGCTGCCAGGAGCCCCAGCACACAGGAGCTGAGTGCCCGGAGCACCTGTTCTCTCACTGTCCCTGGAGGTGCTAGGCCAGTCCTCCCGGTCCTGGGTCCCCAGCTTCCACCTCATGAGCTTCCAGACCATCTGAGCATGTGTTTTTCTGGCCTGGTTCCAGAAACCTGCTGGAGGCTAATCTGGTCCAGAAACTGGATTGGATCTGGAGTCAGACTGGGTCTGACTTAAACTGGAATGGAGTCAATGTGATATTGCTGGTGAATAAAATTTTTCAGGCTGAGATAATAGGTTAAGTTACTAAAGATAATCAAGAATTGCAGTGTCCTCAGTGGGGATATTTAACCGTCTTAGATAAGCTTATCCATCTATGAGGTGCTAGAGAAGGGGTTCTCAGCCAGGCACTCTTTATAACAGACAGGGGAATAATAACTTTACCTCCTCTACAGTATCTGGTGACCAGCATGGAACCCCCTGGGACACCCTACTCATTCCAGGACCCACAGACAGCATCCTGGGAAAGCTAGCAGAAGCCGACAAAGGGTAAGAATTGTTACCAAAGTCAGCTCTCGCAGATGCAATCCGTGGTGTCTGGTTGATCCAAACTCATATTGGCAGGACAAACATTGGTTATCCTCCTTTCTTTCCCAGGAGAGCTACTGCCTTCTTGTCTCATTTTGTGTCCTGAGAACTTGGCTTGACAACCATCAGGTTGGGACCCCCAAAATATGGCCAAAATATGGTCTGCATTGCAGCTCTATTTGTGGCTGGGGTCCTACTGACGGTTGCCACCTCTCGGGAGAATTGTCTAAGTCTTTTTTCCTTTTGGCTGTCTTTGGGAGTGACTCTGGATCTGCAGAGGGCAGTAGCTTTTGCCCTCTCTTTGGGGATGTCTCTTGTGTCCAAGCAGTTGTTCAGTACTGCCAGGCATATTTACTGCTGTCTCAGCTGAAACCTGACAACATATTTGAAAGGATTTTTTTTTTAAAGTAACTCTATGGTCATACAGGAGTGGAAAACTTCTTTTCTTCCCTTCTAAGTTCTTTGACTGATCTGATAATTAAAATGACATAAGACAGATTAACAGAAGAAAAATGTCGTACATCAGGAAGCCTCACAAAAACATGAGGTTCTCTGGCAATCAGGTTACTGAGGCTTACACACCTAGCTAAGGAGAAAGGGGTGGAAGATGGTTCACAAGAAGATAAGAAGAACAGATGTTTGGTAAACAAATATTTGCCTTGCCATACTGATAACACTTTCTGATGTTGACTTTAAAAAGTGCACAATTTGAGAGTTGTGAGTTAAGCTTTATTTGGGACAAGATGAGGACTGCAGATAGTGCTGAGAAACTGCTCTGAAGAGGCAGGAACTGGGGTGGTACAGTATACAGGGAGGTCAGTATACATGTGATTTTGGTGAAGCGGAGCTATGTGCAATCAAGCTCATATTTTTTGCAGAATATTTCTGCTAGTCATGAGGACCAGTCATCACCATTAAGGATTTTAGTGCTTTTCTAAATATGAGGAGATACAAGAATTGGGCTCATAAAAGCAGCTCCTGAAAATATCTACCTATAAGAACCTGTCCTGCCAATTTTTCCCTGGAGCACAGAGTACCTCATTTCTGCTCTCTACCCTGAACTCCTTTTGGAGATTTTGAAAATCAGCAGCTACGGAAGCACGTGATTTAATCCTTGTAGAGGTGGATGGCAAGTGCCAAGTTGTAATTGACACTGTGTAAAAAGTTATCTCTGGTGATATAGTTCTCTTCCTGGTACCAGCCCCCTATCTAAACTCTTCAAGGCAGTTGAGAGGGAGGGGAGAAGCCCAAAGCCTTTGACTGTGTGGATCACAACAAACTGTGGAAAATTCTTAAAGAGACAGGAATACCAGACCACCTGACCGAGATTCCTGAGAAATCTGTATGCAGGTCAAGAAGCAACAGTTAGAACTGGACATGGAACAACAGACTGGTTCCAAATCAGGAAAAGGGTACGTCAAGGCTGTGTGTTGTCACCCTGCTTATTTGACTTATATGCAGAGTACATCATGCGAAATGTGGGGCTGGATGAAGCACAAGCTGAAATCAAGATTGTTGGGAGAAATATCAGTAACCTCAGATATGCAGATGACACCACCCTTATGGCAGAAACCAAAGAAGAACTAAAGAGCCTCTTGATGAAAGTGCAAGAGGAGAGTGAAAACGTTGACTTCAAACTCAGCATTCAGAAAACTAGACCATGGCATCTGGTCCCATCGCTTCATGGCAAATAGATGGGGAAACAATGGAAACAGTGAGAGACTTTGTTTTCTTGAGCTCCAAAATCACTGCAGATGGTGACTGCAGCCATGAAATTAAAAGATGCTTGCTTCTTGGAAGAAAAGCTATGACCGACCTAGACAGCATATTAAAAAGCAGAGACATTACTTTGCCAACAAAGGTCCATCTAGTCAAAGCCATGGTTTTTCCAGTAGTCATGCATGGATGTGAGAGTTGGACTATAGAGAAAGTTGAACACCAAAGAATTGATGCTTTTGAACTTTCTGTGGTGTTGGAGAAGACTCTTGAGAGTCCCTTGAACTGCAAGGAGATCCAACCAGTCCATCCTAAAGGAAATCAGTCCTGAATATTCATTGCAAGGACTGATGTTGAAGCTGAAACTTCAATACTTTGGCCATCTGATGTAAAGAACTGATTCATTGGAAAAGACCCTGATGCTGGGAAAGATTGAAGGCAGGAGGAGGAGGGGATGACAGAGGATGAGGTGGTTGGATGGCATCACCAACTCGATGGACATGAGTTTGAGTAAATTCCGGAGGTTGGTGATGGACAGGGAAGACTGGTGTGCTCTTTCCATGGGGTCACAAAGAGTCAGGCACGACTAAGCGACTGAACTGAACTGAACTGAACTGAGGGGGGGAAAAATTATTCTTAGATCTGCTGGATCTATTTGTTTTAGCTCAAAATAACCCTCATGCCAAAGTGGCACATACTGGGATATCATATGCTCCTCCCCTTAGTCAGAAGTTGCCCAAATTGGAAGGTGATATTCAGAGACTCAGAAACTGTTTTTTAGTCCTTCTCTCTTATACTAACGTGAAACTAAGACCCAGAGAAAAAGAAAAACATCGCAAAGCCTTCAGAGAAGTATTTACTAAAGGATTCTAAAGAAACACAGCTCTAAGGTCTAGAATAGAGGATTTTTTTTTATGTCTGTCTTGGTAGAAGGTCTGGGCTTTCCTGGTGGCTCAGACTGTGTCTGTCTGCAGTGTGGGAGACTGGGGTTTGATCCCTGGGTCGGGAAGATCCCCTGAAGAAGAGAATGAAATTTGTATAGTTCCTCAATGTTTTATTGTTATAGAGATGGAAGGAAGGCTTGTTACTAAGGTGCTTTTGTTGGGGATGACTGAGACACCCAAACAGTTGTCTCAGGACTGCTATTAAGACAAGCATAGAAGTTAGACTGACACATCTCCACCCCATTTCCCTTGGATGATGTGAACTCCTGTGATTCCTAGAAACTTGTGAGGCTATCAAAGGGAGGTTTCAAGAGGGAGATTGTCCGATAAGGCAGGTAAGTTTAAGGAATTCATGTTTGGAATGAAACACTGACTTTCTTTTGGTCATGAATGGTTGTGTGCACTCTGTCTCTTATATTAGACCACTCTGGTTACTGCCTAATGTGCATAAGATGATCAGACAGTTCCTAGAAGAGAGGGTAGTGAATTCTCTGACCAATATTCTTTGAGATAATCAATGTTTTGCCCAAAGACTGATTGATGTGTTTTTTTTTAATATTAGATGCTTAACTATCTATTTATTTATTTAGTTGAAGTCTAGTTCATTTACAGTGTGTTAGTTAGCTGAAGCAGTTTCAAGTATATAGCAAAGTGATTCAGATATATCTACATATAATGTATATACATTCTTTTCAGATTCTTTTCCTTTATGTGAAAGTGAAAGTGAAGCCGCTCAGTCATGTCCGGCTCTTTGCAACCCCATGGACTGTAGTCTACCAGGCTCCTCCGTCCATGGGATTCTCCAGGCAAAAATACTGGAGTGGGTTACCATTTCCTTCTCCAGGGGATCTTCCCAACCCAGGGATCGAACCCGGGTCTCCCGCATTGGAGGCAGACGCTTTAACCTCTGAGCCACCAGGGAAGCCCTATCGCAAATATTAAGCTTAGTTCTGTGTTATACAGTAGGTCCTTGTCCGTTATCTATTTTGTATATAGTATTGTATATGTGTTCATCCAAAACTCCTAATTTATTCCTCCCTACCCCTTCCCCTTTGGTAACCATAGGTTTGTTTCTATGTCTGTGGGCCTGTTTCTGTTTTGTATGTAAGTTCATTTGATTTTTTTAAGATTCCACATCTAAGCCATATCACATGATAATCATCTTTCTTGGTCCAGCTGACTTCACTTGGTGTGATACTCTCTAGGCCATCCATGTTGCAGAAATTGGCATTGTTTTAGTCTCTTTATGGCTGAGTAATGTTTCATTGTAGGTATGTAGCACATCTTTATCCGTTCACCAGTCAGTCAACGTTAGGTTGATCTAGGTCTCGGCCGTTGTGCATAATGCTGTACAGTACACTGGGGTGCATGTATCATTTTGAATTATAGTTTTTTCCCCAGATATATGCCTGGGAGTGGGACTGCGGCATCATACAGTAAGCCCACTTTTAGTTTTTTTAAAGAAACCTCCATACTGTTCTCCATAATGGCTACGCCAGTTTACCCTCCCATTAACAGTGTAGGAGGCAGATGGTCGGTCCTTTTTCTCTACATTCTTTCCTGCATTTATTATTTGTAGACTTTTTGCTGATGGCCATTGCGATTGGGATGAAATGATACCTCCAGCATTCTGGGTCTGTGTCAGGTCATGTTCATTGCATCATGAGCACAAATTGACTAGAGAAGTCACAGTCTCTAACACTCCCAGTGCTGATGACTCAGCCATGGAGTTGCCATCATGCAGTCCACTAGGACGGTCACTTGGACAGCGTGTCCTGGAAGCCGTCCACAAGTATGCTTTGTAAACAGCCTTCCAGAGGCAGAACAGACTAGTCTGTAGACAATAGATGAGCTAATAATCAACTTTCTGGTTTAGAATGAGAGCTTCCCTGGTGGTTCAAGTGGTAAAGAATCCACCTGCAATCTGGAGACATAGGTTCGATCTCTGTGTCGAGAAGATCCCCTGGAGAAGGGACTAGCTACCCACTCTAGTATTCTTGGCTGGAAAATTCCATGGACAGAGAAGTCTGGTAGGCTTCCATGGGGTCACAAAGAGTCAGACATGACTGAGCAACTAACACTTTCACTTTTACTGGTTTGGATTGAAATGAGTGGGGAAAACAGAATGTAAAAGACCCTCCATGGCTTACCTGTCTCTGGTCCAGTCTTGTGATGGCAACATTAGCCCCATAAGCCTTGCAGAAGGCCACCACACAGTCTGTACTGAGCCCCAGCACGTAGCAGGTCTCCCCAAGGGAGCTCTCAACCAGCACAAAGATTTTGGGCCAGACTGGTACTATCACCATTCTCATGAAGTCATCCCTAAACTAAGATCATGCCGTCGGACAACTAAGCCTGTGTCCCACAGCTACTGAGCCCACAAGCTGCAACTAAAGAAAGCCCAAGCACCACAACAGAGACGGCACAGCCACAATTTAAAAAATTAATTTCAAGAAGCATAATTTTATTTGTCACAATAATTTTATTCACTCTTAGAATTGTAGCTACAACTTACAACAATGCTAGTTATTATCCTAGGCATTGTGCTAAAAGGTTGACATGCATTCTTACATTCAGTCTCCAAAGTTCCATGAAGTAGGTACTATTACTAGGCCCATTTTATAGATGAGAAAGATGAGGATTGAAGAAGTGAAGTGACTTGTTCAGTATCAAAGGACTAAGTGTCCTCTGACTAAGTGTCAGAGTCATAATGGAAACATAGGTCTCCTACTGAAGCCAGTGCTTTTGCCTCTCCTTTGGTAGCTGCTGGAGCTGCAGAAAGGAATAGAACACAATGTTTGCCCTCAAACCTGGGAAGTTAAGTGACTCGTGTGCAGAAGTAATTGTTGAAGTAGAATGTAATCTTTTGCCCATTTTTAAATTGGATGATATTTTTATTGTTGACTTGTAAATAGGTCTCTGTGTAGTCTAGATACAAATCTGTTATCAGATGCATGGCTTACAAATATTTTATCCCATTCTGTTGGTTGTCTTTTCATTTTTTTCATAGTGGACTGTGAAAAATCAGAAGCTTTAAATTTTTTTTAATTAGAAGTTTTAATTTTGATGAAGGTCAACTTATCTGTTGTTTTCATTGTTGCTTGAACTGTTGTCTAATCCACGTCACACGGGTTTGCACCTATATCTTCTTCTAAGATTTTTATTGTTTTAGCTCTTCCAGTGAGGTTTTGGATCTCTTTTTTAGTTAATCTACTATACAGTGGAAAGAAATGTTCCAAATTGATTCTGACGCACGTTGACTATCCAGTTGTCCTGGCATCCTTTATTGAAAAGATTATTTTCCCCCATTGAATGATCTTAGCACTCTAGTCAAAAATCACTTGGCCATAAGTATACAAGTTTATTGCTGAATTCTATCCCACTGATATTATGTCCATGCTTATACCAATACCACACTATCTGGATTACTCTAGCTGTGTAGTAACTTTTGAGGTCAAGGTATGTAAGTTCTCCAATTTTGTTCTTTTTCCAGATTGCTTTCTGTGTTTTGTGTGCATGGCCATATGCATCTTAGAACCAGCTTGTCAATTTCTATATGTATTTTTGCTTCTGCCAAGAAGCCAACTTGGATTTTGATCCTGATTGCGCTGATTCTCTAGATCCATCTGGGGATTCGGGGTAAGGGGAACTCAGTCTATGTCAGACTCCAAGCTAGGCACTCTACTGGCATTATTTCATTGCATTCTCCAAGAGCCCTATGATGTAGTGATTACCATGTGCATTTTACAGACGAGGATAGTGAGGCTTTTAGAGTGTCAGAAGTCAGGTTTCTCAAGAAATAAATTCAGAAATGAGATTTTCATGCTGCAGTTTTGTTGGGGGCAGGTGAGGGGGATGTCTCCAGGACCAGCACCAAGAGGGGAGAGGAAGAAGTTGAAATTGAATGCAGTTACAACAGAGGCTTCAACTGACCCTGTGCAAAGAGCTAAAGTTGGGATGTCCCTTCAGCAAGGCCCAGAATTGAGGCAAGGGGCCAGGTCTTTGTCTCTCATCATTATGAGCTGCCCCAGGACATGGTGTAAACCTGAGTGAAGCATCTCCCTTTAGTGGAGGGCAATTGCTCAGAAGGGCTTCATCTGTGAGCAGCTGGAGTGGGTGAGTGCCTGCATCCCAGAAGGGAGTCTGGGTGCACCGCCACATCTACTGGAAGGCTGTTCTCTCTCATCCTAGGCCATGAAGATAGTCCGTGCCGAAGGGTAACATTGGAAGTCCACCAGCCTCACTCCAGACTGTGAACTGGAGTGGAGACTTTATTCCCACATATGTTAATTTACTCATATCATTTGCTTCCATAATCAGTCCAGTTAACATATAGTTTGGACCTAAGAATATAAGTAGATCTTATAAGAAGAAATTTAATTAAAAAATTACAATAGTAATTGAAATTGTCTTTAACATCATGCTAAAAGACTGCACATGTTAAAAGTGAGTGTTCACTGTTAAGTAAGAATCTCTAGGACTGATTTTGGTTGCTTATTCTGGTTAAATCTACACCTTGGGAAAAAGATTCCTGTCATTTTACTCTTCTTCTTATTGTTCTCTGAATACTCAGGAAATATCTTTTCTCAGAGCCACCTGATATTTGAGTTTTGAGTACTTACCTCTAAAAAGATGAGGGCCCACCCATCCCCAGGTCTCAGAACTTGGTCTGCAGCTGATGGTGATGCTTTTCATCTTCTGAGCATCTCCTATGAGCAACAAACTGGAGCAGTGTCCTTCTGCCTGCACTATCTCATGAAATCACCACACAACTTCAATTGAGTGGGAATATTAATTTCATTTTCTAGATGGCCTCAAATGTTATCTGCATTTTACAGATGAGAAAACCGAGTCAGCTTGTGGGTTGCTTCCTCCCTGTCAAAAAGGTGGCTTGATAATCAGCTTTGCCATTACAAGGCAAGGCGAGAAGACAGTCATGTCCGTCACCTGTCACTGCACCCCTATGGTCAGCTGGTGTTGGGAGTCCAAAGGGTAAGGCAAGGAGCAGTGGATTTCCCGACCCCTCCTCCCTCACCTTGGTGCCCAGAAGAAGGCAGAAGCCAGGCCGCTGCCCTTTCCTCCCCAGGAAGCAGGTGTTCCTGGAAGACTCAGACCTGGATGGAAAAGTGGCCTGGCTGTTGGGCCAGCAGCTCTCTGTCGCTGAAGTTCACTCCCAGGGGCGGGAGGTGCCGCTGAGAGATGCGCGCTGCGCGGGCGTCCTGAACAATCGGCTTCAGCACCCGGCCCAGGTGGACAGCGACGAGCGCAGCAGCCCGCCCCAGCCTCCCGGCGCCCACCCCTGGTAGGGCCGGTGCTCGCGCCTCTCACCGCCGCCAGCAGCATGCCCAGCGCCATGTCCAGTGCCTGCACCTTGGCGCTGTCGGACCACGCGATCGCCTTGCACATCGCCTTGTGCCTCCTTGCCCAGGCCTGCCGGGGGCTGTGTGCACGTGTCCAGAGCTGCAGCTGCTCCCCAAGCGGGGCTCCCTATGCGGCCCCCCTTGTCACCTCTCTCAGGGCTTCTAGGCACGTCAGGGGGGAGGCAGCCAGAACATGTAAAAACTTCCCCAAGCGGGTGCTGATAACTATACCTCTTCACAGGCTAAGGGCTCTAGTCCCTGTTGAAGTCTGTCTTGCTTCTGGAGATTTTCCAAAACCCTACTTTGTTTTAAAATGCATTCATCTTGGTTTGTAATTATATGCATTTCTGGTAACTTTTTATTTAATGCTGGTCTCCACTCCCAGTTTTTAGCGCAGCTTGAGTTTGTGTAACTCAAATGAAGATAAAGTGAAAGTGAAAGTTACTCAACGCAAAGTGAAAGTTGCCTTCAACTCTTTGTGACCCCCATGGACTACACAGTCCATGGAATTCTCCAGGGCAGAATACTGGAGTGGGTAGCCTTTCCCTTCTCCAGGGGATCTTCCCAACCCAGGGATTGAACCCAGGTCTTCCACATTGCAGGCGGATTCTTTACCAGCTGGGCCGCAGGGAAGCCAAATGAATATAACAAATACAATAATATTACCTGGTACCTGTGAGGCTTCTTCCAGGTGCTTCTCTCACCTCCACCATCCCACTCTTTTTATTAACTGAATAATTAATATATATGAAATCAACTATTACCAACTGTTAACTCTGTGTTTATTTTTAATTCTAACAATTTTCTAAGGGATTCTATTAAGAATCCCTTCACGATGTTTTACTTTTATTGTTTATTGATAAATTAGCAATGTATTCGGCCAGGTAAAATAATTTGTTCCAGGTCACAGAGCATTCATGCTGGTATTCAAACCTAGGACAAGCTAACTGCAAATTTAGTGGTGTTACAGGGCATGCTGCATCTTCAGTTTGCACAATCCTTTCGGAAAGCAGTTTCACACCATGATCCAAAGTGGCTAAAATTATTCCTATCCTTTGATTTAACAATTCCACTTCTGGAAATCTGTCTTTCTTTGCTTGTTTTATTTTTATTTTGTTTTTGGCTGCTCAGTACTGCATGCAGAGATTTTAACTCCCCAACAAGGATTGAACCCTTGTCTCTGCAGTGTAAAAGTGGAGTCTTAACTACTGGACCACCTGGAAATCTATCTTAACAAGGGAGAAAATCTACAGTCAAAAAGAAAAAAAATCACCAAAAAATATTCATTAGAGCACTACAGAAGAAAAATGAAAAGCAAAATTTCCATTTATTTACAGAAAGTTAGAAGTTTAAGTGAAATTCCACTCATAAATGGCTCAGTCGTAAAGAATCCACCTACCACTGCAGGAGATGCCAGAGGTGTGGGTTTGATTCCTGGAGGAGGAAATGGCAACCCACTTCAGTCTTCTTGCCTGGAGAATCCCACGGACAGAGGAGGCTGGCGGGCTGCAGTCCATGAGGTCGCTAAGAGTCAAACATGACTTAGCGACTGAGCCTTCATCCACTCATGTGCTTAATTAATAACACATTGGAATATTATGGAGCCATAGAAAGTACATTATGGAAAAGCTAGGGAAATGGTTATAAGTAAAATAAAGCAGGATATAACATCGCCTAATGATGTAAGCTCTACAACCTTGCATGGAAGGTGGTAAAAAGACACTGCTGGATACATGTGTTCAATAACTGTTAACTGGATAAATGAATGAAAAAGACCAAGATAAAGGATAAGTTTTAAATTTTTTCCCCTACTCTTCAGATTTTTCTGTTGTGGGGTGTTTTGGTTATTTAATGGAACAAAGCTCTTCATTTTCTCAAAGATGCGGTATCCAGAGTGCTTGCTTGCTCAGCAATTATATTTTCAGATCTCTGTGGATGATCTATCATTTCTACTGAGAGATGAGGAAGTGAGGACCCAAACGTGTATTCTTGCCTGAAACCACACATGCAGTGAGTGTGGGCGTCTAGGCCTTCTGACTCCAAGCCCCTCGACCTTAACTGACCTTGACCTGGGCTGGCACTGGGAGACAGGAAATTGAATTCCAGTCCCTGCTCTGTCCGCAGCTTGCTGGGTGATTTGGGGTTAGTCACTTCTCTTGGGGTCTCTCTTGGACTTTTGCCCTGAAGATTCATGGATCACTTTCTTTTCCATCCTCTTTCAGTGGGCGGGGGAGTGTATAACCCCGTCTCGTCACTCCATCTTTCATCTCCTTGTTTGATTTCCTTCCTCTGTCACTTTAATTGTGTCATTTGTTATGCCATTCTGTTATGTCAGTCCTTTGACATTTTGTCATATTTTCTGAAATGATCTTTTTTTCTTTGCTTGCTTACTGTTTGTTTGCCTCTCTAGATGTAAGCTCTGCGAAGTCGTAACCTAGGCTATCCTGGTTGATATGCCAACTCCAGCTAGCTCAAATGCAAAAGGAAAGGCATTGTAGAGTAGCTCAGAGAATTTGCAGAAATAAAAACCAGGGCTTTAAGAATGTTAAACTCAGCATTTTGTGGAAACACACACATGTTTCCTCTCTGTCTCTCCGTCTCTTCCCTTCCTGTTTTCTCTCTCCACCCTGTCGTTTCTCATCACTGCTTATCTATGTTTGGCTTCATTCTGCACTTTGCATCCAACTGGAAAGGAAGAATTCCGTCAGAACCCTAAAGTCTCTTTGTTCCTGTTTAATGTTTCTAGCAAAAATAAAATAACAAAAAGCGTTTCATGACTCCCAGTGGCATTGGCAATCACTGGGAAAGATTCTGAATGGGTTTGCCTGGAATATACATGCGTCTCTGAACCAGTAGACATGTCAGCCCTGCTTGTTGAATGTGGGCACATTTTCTCTTACTATTAGTGTATGTTCAATGTGGTGTTTCTTTTTGAGAATCTATTTAAGTCAATGCCCATTTTCTGGGTTTCAGTTTAGGTTAAACTAGATAGTAATAATCTGTAAATTCAGAATTTTCATATGTAATTGGAGCTACTAGTATTTTTTCTTAGACTCCAGTGGCAAGTCTTTCTCTCCTCCTGTGAGCTAGTGTAGATACCATCACTTACTTCCTTTCTGTCCTTACGTATTATGTAAAACGGTGTCCTTTGAATCTCTGACATCGGATTAAATTAATAACTTAAATAGTTAAAATTAGTGGGCTTCTTTATTTGTTAGATGTACTTAATTTGGTGAGAATACGAAAGTTCTCTGTAATCAGAGAGCAGGAAAGATTTCATATCTTTATTTTTAGTGTAAGAACTTCTATGCAACTTAAGCCTTTGAGCCTTGAGATATGTTTTCCTTCAGATCACTAAGTTGAGTCTCAATTACTGTTTCCTTTAACTAATTGATTTTTATTTTGTAGATCATATAATGATATGGCTGGAAGCATCTGTGATGGGTAGAAAGTTGCTCTCAGTATTGTTCTTCACACAGATTAACTGTAGGTCCTACCCTTGACTTGAGTTAAAGGGGAACAGACCTGCTAGAATCAGCAGAGACTGTCTCAAGTAGTTACAGGTTTAGACCCTTGTTCTCAGACTGTGGTGTGTGGTCCAGCCCTGTTGGCTTCGACTAGATGCTTTTAGAAGTGAAGAATCTGGGGCCTCAGCCCAAACCTTATCAAGTTGTGATCTGCAATTTGATAAGATTCCCATGTGGAGACTGTGGTTGCCTTGGAAGAGGAAATTGATCATGGTCAACCAAAAACAATGGCAGGTACAACTTCTTAAAAGTGCTCTTCCTCCGTCTCCACTTTACTTCTTTCTTCTCAAGTAAAACTATCCTTATAGTACATCTAAATCACCAGTTTGATCAAATCTAGTGCATTTCTCCCCCAATTTCTTCAAGTCTGATATAAACCAACATAGTTTGAATAACTACAGACGATACCCATATACATTCACATTGATCAGAATTCAGGCTTTATTATTGTTGTGCAGTGTGAAGAACTAAAGCTTAATTCCAAGCATACATAATTAAGCTTATAAAGAAGAATTTTGTTCCCAAAACATATTCAACATTTAAAGGGGAAGAAAAGATGTTTATTTGAAGAACAGACTATACCTAGAATTGTTTGCTTCTAAAAAACCCATTTCCCCCAAGCCTTAACTTCATAATTTCGTATTAAGCAATGACATTACATTACACAATCTAAACAATTTAGTGGGAGCAGCACTTGGCAGAATAAAAAAAAATAGTATAGATGTTCATGTAACTCAAATAATATTATTTAAATCCAACTTCCAACTTTCGATCTAAATATACATTTTTCTCCAATAGACTTAAATATATGATTGTTAAAATACATATGTGTGTAAAATATGTTTTTTAAAAAAGGAAACAAAGATGTATAATATCCACTGTTGATTTCATAAAAGAGGGTACACTAAAGCAGGGGAAGAAGGAGCCCTTGAAAAATTTCTTTTTCTGTACAGTCTGCTACTCTGTTCTGCCTTAGGTTTACCTATTCAAGTTGGAAACTGTAATGTAATACTGGGGTGGAAATTGACCAAATATGCTGCCTTAACATTTCCTTTCAGATCTTTACTGGGAACTTAAAAGAAAAAAAAGATGTGTTTATCACTGGGGGCAGGGGCAGGAGTGGGGTGGGTTTGAAGAAAACAGAGTTAAACCAGAACCTATACAAGACTTCCATGTATCTACGTGACGGAGCAGTTACATGTCCCACCAGGGGATGCTGCAACTCAAAGAAAGGGCGATGGGCTAATAAGATGCTATCATGAGGAGGGAGCAGACTGAGCATCAGACGGAAAAGGTTTGGGATTATGTAGCACCTCATGACTCAAATACATATGAAACCTTTAACAGAAAATCTTCCAGGTAGCCTACAGCTTGCTTTTCTGACTATTGTCTTTTCAATACACACCTGGTCTGTACAAGAAGAGGGACCAGGAATGAGAAAGGTCTAATAGCCGATTTTGCAGAAGCTACTTGAGCAGTGTGTACGTGACGGAATGGTTATTTTCCGGTCCCCCATTCCCCGTGGAGGGCAAAAATCACAATACAATTTGGTAGCAAACTTGGCTGTCTCTCGTATTCCTAGGGACATAGCCTCCCCTATGACGATTTTGACTCATTCTTGAGAACCATCAGCCTGTAAAACATGACCGATCCTTCTGGGAAGATGCACCTGAGAAGGGTCTATTGAGGGATGGTGAACTCACATATGTACCTCTTGCTGCTACGACAGGCCTCGTCACTCCACTTGCCCTGAGCTGACTGGGAGAAGAGGGCACAATTTTCCCGCTTGCCACCGTTAGGCTGTGCCT